TTAAACTTATTAAATTTTAAAAAATTAGGCAGAGAAAACAATACAAAAAAGTTTAATTTTCAAAAAGGAACAAACCTTCATCTTTTAATGATAAAATCTTTCTTTATTATAATAGTTTACAAAATTTCCTTAACTTATCAAAGATCACTAACTTTATTTACTGACAATGGGGATTATTAGTTTGACTTACTACCAAACAGTCTAGTTGTTACATGGAATACTAGTAACCATTTAAAGGAACACTTGTATATGGTACAACAAACATTCTAGCTGTAACATGGAATGCTAGTAACCATTTAAAGGAACACTTGTATATGGTATGTTACACCAGTCTAGCTGTAACACAGAATACTAGTAACCATTTACAGAAACACTTGTATATGGTATGTTACACCAGTCTAGCTGTAACACAGAATACTAGTAACCATTTACAGAAACACTTGTATATGGTATGTTACACCAGTCTGGCTGTAACATGGAATACTAGTAACAATTTATGGAAACACTTGTATATGGTATGACAAACAGTCTAGCTGTAACATGGAATACTAGTTACCATTTATGGAAACACTTGTATATGGTACGACAAACAGTCTAGCTGTAACATGGAATACTAGTTACCATTTACGGAAACACTTGTATATGGTACGACCAGCAGTCTAGCTGTAACATGGAATACTAGTTACCATTTATGGAAACACTTGTATATGGTACGACAAACAGTCTAGCTGTAACACGGAATACTGTTACCATTTACGGAAACACTTGTATATGGTACAACCAGCAATCTAGCTGTAACATGGAATACAAGTAACCATTTACAGAAACACTTGTATATGGTACAACAAACACTAGCTGTAACATGGAATACTAGTAACCATTTAAAGGAACGCTTATATATAGTATGACGAACAGTCTAGCTGTAACATGGAATGCTAGTAATCATTTACAGGAACACTTATATATAGTATGAAGAACAGTCTAGCTGTAACATGGAATACTAGTAACCATTTACAGGAATATATGTGTATTTTTGATATACACTTTAAACTTAGCATGCTCCTGCCAAGGAATGGAGTTTCAATGACAGTATGGTTCACAGACACTACCAGTCCAGCAGTCAACAGTATTAGCTAAGGTTCAAAAGCCTGTTAGTAAAGAGGATGTGAAGTTCACATACACAACAAATTAAACAGTTAATACTCACTGCTTTCCATATTGTGTTTCAATTATGTGCAGAACAGATATACAAATTAACATTTTGAGTTAATACTTATTATTAATATATACACTAAATAATGTATGATTAACATACAACATACTCAGCAATCACAAACTAAATAATTAATGATTTTATGTAAAATTACTTATAATGTAGTAAATCCTATACTTTGTTAGGTTAATCACAAACAATATACTTTGGACTCCACACGCACCCTTGGAAATAAACAAATATTCCAGAAAAAGTTATAGTAAATTACATAAGTTTATTTATATTGTGAAATTTAGTTATTTTACCCAGTTTAATGTTTTGAAATAGTTTCTTAGTGTTACACGTATAAGCAATCTCAATTCAATATTCTTAAACATAATTTTGCATAAAACTTGATAGTTTGGTAGTTTAAGCTAAAGCATTTATTTCAAAAGTTTATTAGCCTTTAAGAAATGTAATAGGGAACTTAATAAGATATTTTCTCTAATAATCATTTTACTTTTATGCCAAAGGCTTTTCTTTTTCCTTTACGTGAAAAACAATACCCATGTTTTTAAAGGAAACAATAACAGTACTAGGAACTTCCTTAGTAACTGAATTATCATTAAATTTTGAGTTATTCATTCAGATTCAGCCACTGGAGACAAAAAACATGGACATTTTCTTGTAGATTACACACTGAGTGACAAGAGGATCACTAACTTTCGAAGATGCTTAGATCGATGAAGGAATGGGGATATTCTTTGCATAAGAAGAAACTGAGGTAACTAATAACTTTCCTGGAGAAGACCTAGAACTACTACATGCCTCAAGATGAGCTACACATTGTTCTATATCTTTTCTCCAGAATGTCCTGGTAGGAGTTTTCGATGGTCAAAGTTAGTAACTAATTCCATAATTCTACAGCAAGATTTACCTTCTTGATATCTTCTACATTCTTGAAGTGTTTATCAGATTCTTCTGTTGCATTTGTTTGGGTCTAAATAGGTAGTATATTGTTTCAAAGGTCAAGAATCTGTTTCTCTACCCACAATGTAGTAGTGTTTGGTTTATTATGCATCCGTATGACGTGAGTACGACAATCAGACTTGGCGTACGACAGGTAAGAGCACAGTTTACACTTAAAACGTCGTACTCCAGCATGTACTGCTACATGGCGTTTTAAACTTGAGACAGAAGAAAAATACCTGTGGCACTTCTTACAAAAAACATTTTTGAAGTCTACAAACTTTTCTGTATCTTTTATCGGAGACATTTTTCTTGGACTATTTTTATCATGTTTCAAACTTCGACTAAATAAAGTTTGACTGTTTACAAAATCCTTAGGCATTTTCTTCTCTGCTACACGTTTGGGTCGGGAAATAACATTTGGAACATTACTAATTCCATCTGTAGGTTTGATTTTTTGATCTGTTTTACCTGTGGTTGACTCAAGCTGACAATCAAAGTATAGCTGAACAGAATCTTGTGAAAACTTGCACATACATTTTGTTGTATGCTTTGAGCCCGTATGCAGCTGCAGTTTTTTGTTTTTATTATTAGGAGTACAAAATTTGCAAGTTTTTTTCCATTTTCTTCATTATTTTTATTGTTTTTTTTGGAAGGAGAAGCATTTTATTTGTTTTCTTAGCTCTTTTACCTGTGCTTTGGTTTTTTGATGACAGTATATCAAATGACGTGTTAAACCCCAAACCTGGACAAAGGTTGAACTACATAACATGCATGGATATACTGTTCGTTTCTCAGCATGGATCCTAGTCATGTGGTAGAAGAGGGTATTTATGGAGGCATAACGTGTCTCACATCTTAAACATGACAGAGTATGAATATTACAATCTGTACGGTTGGCCAGTTGTTTGGCTCTGCTGGTTGATGGTCTTTGGGGTACAAAACAATCAAGTTCTTTCTTTTCTTTTCCAGTGTTTGCATTGGATGATGTATCTGTAATAACAGCTATATCCTGTTTTGTCATAGGTAAATCTCTCTCATCTGGAATCTTCTGTAGCTCTTCAGAAAGCTTATTATTCATTGTTTCAGCTGTTCTGGTCGTGTGCAACACAACATTGGAATTTCCAGGAACTGGCTGAACAGAAGAATCTGTTGTTAGTGGCTGTTGCTCTTTATGATCTTTCAGGAGGCTGCTGTTTTGATCCTGATGAGATTTATTGGGCAGTGCTTTACTAATTTCTTTGGTTTCCTTAGTTGGTGTATAAATTTTTGGAACAGAAAGTTGAATTATGGATTCTTCAAATGCATTTGTGACATGATCAGTAGAATTTACAGCATCAGATGTACAATCCACATCTAGATGATTGTGTTTTTCTTCTCTTGGACTTTCTGGTTCAACTGTTATGGTTTCCTCTGGAGAATTCTCTAACAGAAAAGCCACTGAATCACACAAGTGTATCTTGCAGTAAAACCGTTTGTGAGCCAAAAGGTTTTCAAGGCTTCTGAACATGTTTTGACAAACCTTACACTCATAAATGATGGTGCATTCATTTAAGATGATATCTTTTACTTCTTTCGTACCACCCTCCAAACAGTTCAGAATCTGTTGGATATCTCTTATTCCAAGGTTTAAAGGGGTCTGAAGTACAGAGTGGTCCAGTTCATCACAGTTTACTGGAACCTTGTCATTTGCAATTTTCATTGTAACACCAGAATACCTCACAAAATTTTCCTCTTGCCTTTTATTCTCCATCAGTAATCTTGAATGTCTGGAAAAATCACACAGAAAAAAAAAATGTAACATTCATTTTGCCACAGTGATTCAATTTCTGTCATTATAGATACATTTAAAACTGTGTCACAATTTTCATCTGTGTAACCACATCTAAAAGTTTCAGATCTTGTGTTGAATTTTAAAACAAATAAAACATTCCACATTCAAAGTGTCTACAGATTTATTACACAGTACCAACACTTTACTGGCTGCAATATGGTTATAACTTTTGGTCTGCAACTACAGAAATACCACTGAGTAAACTATCTAAAAAAAATTCTCTTCCATATTCACTATAGTTGCCTGCAATTTTAAAGTGTTGTAGTGTTCCCATATCCTGTAAAATACATATATGTGCATAAGTAACTATGGTATGTGTGTGTGAAAACAAATAACACAATACACTAGTTTTACTTTTTTTTCATATTATATATATCCGATAGGCTGAATTTTTGTAATTCTAATTATTCATTAGGTCCCAGATTTTAAATTCCTCTATCATGATAATTTTAGGGCCTGAGGAGCAACAGTTAAACCTGTAGTTCTTCCACTGGATTCTTAGTTATAACAATATTGAATATTAGTGCAACAAGCCATCCACTTTTTTTTTCACCTGTTAAATATGAAATTATATATATAATTAATGAAAAAATATTCTTATTCAAGTTTCATCCCATTCTTTGAGATATATATATATATAGTTAAACGAAAAAATATTCTTATTCAAGTTACATCCCATTCTTTGAGATATATATATATATATATATATATAG